TTAATAATATGATTTGACCTCAAACAAATCGATACATATCCTAAGAATATACCAAATTTTTGACAAATAAATTGTTCTTAACTTATAAATAGCCTCGTGAACTTGCAAAGCCTAGCCAAAGAGGTACGAAAGGAAATCGTTCAGTGACGACGAGGTCAAAACTGCTGCACCCAACCAATTTCACTACGGCTCACTAACTCCACTTACTCGCCTCTTCCTGAACCAATTAGAACTATTTACATCCGATAATAGAGTCTCTACGAATAATATCTTCTTCGTCTTTAGTATTAACTTAGTAAATCTTGAATGAAAAATATAAATCTACATACGTACATCAATGTACATATATGTATGTATCTTACATATGTGTAAATTGAAATAATAATAAATTTTTGGTTTATTATTTTCAACAATGAACCGTTTTAATCGCCTAAAAAATTCGAAAACTTAACCTTCCCTCCCAAAACTTTGAGGTTTTACGTTTCAGGATACGTAGAATTCGAAAATAGAATAAATAAATGTTTGACCGCCTGTCGTTAGTGCCTCTTTAGAGCTGCGTGCCTACATACGATCATTTTGGCAATTAAATTTTTCATCGCTAAACAAAATCTTTCGATGAAGACCATTAGTGTAACGGCCAAGGAACACTTTTCGTCAATCCACTCTATTTTTTTTAGGGAAATGTTTAGCCTCTATCCTGTCATTCTTCAAAATGCACCCATCCTAAGGTCACGTTTTACTAAGTGAGACATTGATTTGACAGAGATTCCCATTTCCCGAGACACGATTTGTTGTTTTCGAATGGGATTTCTTCTTGTTCGAGCAGTCACTGCATTTGCTGTTCTCACAGTGCGGAGATGGCCCGGTCGAGGTCTATCACAGATAGAGAGGGTCTCATTTTATGTATTTATATTGCTGTAAACGAACATACGGCTGATACCCACATGTTTCAAAGTGTTGAAAATCTCTGAAATACATTACACAGCTATTCAGTTTTATTTATCATCCCATTCCATGTTAACTGAGCGAAAGAGAAATACAAAATAATTGGGATTATTATCATGAAATTTAAAGAAAATACCCTGATAGAGGATTATCTAAAATATACTCAAGGATGTAAACAAAGTTCGAATTTTGTAACAGTATGGCAGAATTAGGTATGCACAAATAGAGCATTGAATGTTTTTCTTCGTTACACATTAGTTGTTAATTAGCAGTTACTTTGTACTTCGATAATTTTATATTGTTGTGACGACTGATTTTTTTTTTTTCTGTGAAGAAGTGCGTTGTGTTGTGTCATATTTTCTGAGTTTAGGTTGTGAGACAAGTATTTTTTTTTTTTTGCTTTTAGACACCCAGAAAACGCTCGTGGAAGACCGAAAGTTTATACTTACACAAATGTCTATAAGTTATTAATTATAGGTGATGAAATCATTGTAACATTTTTGTAACATCATAGGTTGTAACATTTTTCCGAATCCGAATTGCGTGAACTTTATCCGTTAAATTTAATTGAGACGATTGAATTGTGGCTTGTAAAATGCGCGTCTAAAAATGTTGAGCTTGGTAACGAAAGAATTCCTAAAATATTAATATTTGCTTTGCCAACTGGTTAACGTCCTAGAGATTGACTGAAGCGAAGGTGGTAAGGTTAATGTAGGCTGATCTGGTGGGGTTGAGTTTGGACGACGACCGGTAGATGGAGTTGGGTAGACAGATTGGTGGTGTCGGCGTCGAACCTTCGGGATATTATTTGATATCATTAACATGACAAAGCCCAAGAAAACTCTTGACAATCCAAACTTATAACTCATGAACTGTGCACTCAAGCGAAATAGTTACTGTTTAATAAATTGAAGAACGTTAAATTCTGCGTCGAATGGATACCACACTTTAATACCTATTTAAGTACTATCGTAGAACACCATAGTCAACATAATATGTTTTCTTTATAGTTTATTGTGATGTAACTATGCGAATTCTCTCAATACTAATAATATCCATTAGCAGAATAGACAGGCATTATATTGGCAAACTCTCAAATCCTTAAACAATGCCTTACAATCAACAAATGAACAATATTCATTTAAAAAGCCTCTTGACTTACGATGTTCTACTCCAAAGTGTCAGAACATCCATTAAAGTAGGTTAAAGCAACGTAAAGTAGTCAGAGAAGCATCCAATCAAAAGCTATTTGATCGATTAATATCATCATTGAAGAATCGATTTAATAAATATTAAATCTTTTATTATCATAGCCTTAATGAAGAGAATGTGGGGCGAATCAGGCTTTGAAATCGATAACTAATATAAATATTTTTATCTTTTAGAAATTTCGTTGATTACTAGACCTCATTTTTATTTCAAATAAACATAATTTATTACCTTGAATAATTCTATCTAAAAAAAAAACAGTCAACACGAAAATCTTCTTTCTAAGGGTATCGTGTTATCAATTTACCATTTGTATCTATATGGTGGAATGCTGAAAATGATAAAAAATCAAGTTTTACTTTTAAAAAAAGAATCTATTTGTGAATTCAACATTATAAGTATTTGCACATTGAGAATATTACATCGAATGATTAATTACTCTGTTATTTTACATGGTAAAGTTTTTACAGATTGCCAACACAGATTTAACTGAGTATTATTTGAATAGACATAATCACTTAATTGGTTATATACAGAATATGATATATTCAGTTACTTTTAGCCCAGTCAATGAATGCTCGACGAAAAGGGGGTACAGGAAGAAATGGCGGGGACACAATTTTTGACTTTGGTAAATTGTTTGGGCTAGTAAGCAGATAAACATACTAAAATTCCGTCCACCTAGATGGTGAACCAGATATGTGGGAGCCTAATAGGTTATTTTATCGGGTTTTCGAAAAAATAACTAAAATAATAGTTATCAGGAAAACTATCTATCGAATCGAAAAAGACGTTCTATGCAAAATTACAGCTGATAAAATTTGCAATATCATTGATTATATTTTTTTACCCAGCAGCCAGTTCTTCCTTCTTTCAAGTTCTCTTATGAGCGCCTTCATTAGACCTCTTCGCTAGACAATTATCTCCAATTTTTGTTTCTTCCTTAAGGAAGTGCTCTCTCAGAAAGATTAGTTCAATCCAAAAATTGTTCGTCCAAATTTACTCCACTCTTCTTTTTCTAGGATTTCCTATTTGTTGAATACTTGTTCTAGGATGGAACTATTCCTTCTCCTATAGAATGTAGAAATGTGGGTGGGCTCCTTTTCAACTTTCAAAAAACATAGTTTTATCTTAACTGGAATGTCAGCAAGTTTGCCTTATAGTACCTATCTATCTCGTTGGCACTATAGCCCGAGGATGGGTCTGCCTCTCTTCCTTGTGAGGTCAATTCTATCCTCAAGGACTCTTGAGGATTTCTATAAAACTATCACCTTGACGAAATCCGTCGATCTTTACCACCCTTTTTTCCATCTATATAAATGACCTCCCATCCTCTATCCTGCACTATCAATACCACCTGTATGCCGACGACATTCAAATTTACCTCTCCTTCAAGCCGACCGATTTCTCAGATGCCATTCTAAAACTTCAGGAAGACATTACCAGAATAAGGGCTTGGGCAAACCTCAACAGGCTCACACTTCTCAAATCCTTCCCGCTATCTCCCAATCTCCTCCTGAACAACTCACCTATCTAATTCCACACCACTGTTAAAAGCCTAGGTGTTACTTTTGATCAAACCCTATCCTGGAAACCGTACATCTCACAAATTTCCCGTCGCACTGTCTCCACCCTAAAACAGTTCAATCCTCTACGATATCTCCTTCCATATAAGTCCTGTCAACTCCTAGTTTCCTCCCTTGTTTTTTCCCACTTCGACTATGGCTGTATAGTGTACGGAGGACTCTCGGAAGATTTTGAGGCCAAACTTAAACGCCTAATAAATTGCGCACTACGATTTGTTTTCGGAATCTCAAGGGATACGCATATTACCCAGTATTACACTGATTTGAGGTGGCTCTACCCGTCCTATCACCGTCAGTAATTCTTAGCCACCTTTCTGTACCAGATCATTAGAACTCATCGACCATCGTATATTTTTCACAGCTTACAATTCAAATACTCCATCCAATCCCGTTCCTAGATCTCGCACTTCTGACCTCTATCCTCCTCCTCACCGAACTGCTGCGTTTGACAAATCCTTTGCGATACAAGCCGCCTCCCTAAGCACCTAGAGACAAATATCTAATAAGAGAAATATCTAAGCACCTCCAGACTACCTCAATTTACCTCAGACTACCAGACTACCAGACTACCAGACTACCTCAAGGTTATTTTAGTTTCTTATATATATATATATATGTACAATTTCCTTGTTCTTTTCTTTCTCTTCTTCAGTATTTTTATTTTTAGTCGACTCTTATTGTAAATATATAATCTAATTGTAACCACACAGACATACAATCTGTATTTATAATTTGTTCTAAAGGGACAACAGGCCCTGAATAATAAAATATTTTTTCATTTCATATATTTAGTTTTGCCAAACTGCCTATTGGATTTCCAGAAAAGCGTTAATCTCAGCTCAGATTTTGATCTTGCAATTATTTCAATATCCTCAGAAAAACCCAAGATTTGTACACTTCTGTTGACAATAGTTCCTTTTGCTTGTACTCCCGATGTATACGTATGTATGTAATACTAAGGGTTCAGCAGATTTGATCTAGGTACCATATTTTGTCTATGGTTTATCTGAAATATTCTGTGTTTAAAAATATTTAACCTTTTCTTTTTCGATTAACTCGATTGGTTATTTTTATTTATTTATATGTATACTGCAACTCACACATCAGCATCTTTGATACATACCACTATTTTCAGAGTAGTGGACTTCAGGCTACTCTATATTATGTATAATTTATTATATAATATTATGATATATGTATATATCATTATTATTCTTATGTTTACATCATATATATAATATTATAGTACGATATACTTACTATTGGAGGCAGACGGTACGCTGCGACTATTGGCTCGCTGCCCGACCTCTGGCTCCTCACCCTGCCGGCCCCGACCGCGGGGCAAACCAGTGCCCCGTAGTACCTGCACTGGGGGCAGCCCCCCTCACCCTTGCACCACCTGCATCCCGGGCCTCCCTCATCCTCGCTCTGCAACATAATACATAATGTATCAACATATCTTATGTAATGCTGAAATAAAAAATACATTAAAATTGTATTTATTTTTAAGGATTAAGTATAATCATTTACTTTGGAAAATAGGATTAAATCATGAAAAGTCACAACATATAACATTTACACTTCGACGAGAAACGTGCCCACCAGTTTATATAGGAGAGAACCAAAATCCTCAGACAAACATAGTAGATAGATAGATAGATAGATAGATAGAAAGTAAACTTTATTCTGGAACAAGGTCCCTTATGAATAACAGATATGAACAAAAAAATTAAAACTACATCTGGCCAAAAATTACATTAATCAATATTAAAGAATATATACAGTATCTTCAGTGAAATTAAATTAAAACAAGTAAAAATAAAATAAAATTTTGAGAAAAAACGAAATAAAAAAAACAACATTATTTAAATGAAAATAAAAATAAAATAAAATAAGCATGGGTTGATTTTTAAAATTAAGACAATAAATTTTATCAATCATTCACCTCAGTCAAAATCTGTTTCACAATATTTATTTTATTGTATAACGTCATTTTGGGATGTGGTAAGGAATTGGTAAAGATGATATTTAAATGAGGACAAGGAAGAGGCATGACGGATTTCAGATGGCAAGGAATTCCAGAAGGCTGTGGATCGGGAAATAAAGGAATATTCAAACGTCTTAGTTCTATGGGAAGGGATATAAAGGTCGGAAACACGGGATCTTGTTTTCTGGGAGTGGACCACGGGTTTAAACTGTAGGAGACTGTAGATGTAAGAAGGGTGTCTGGTGTTGATTGTTTGGAATAGGAAAGATCCGAGGAAATATTGTCTGCGGAGTACTATACCTGGGACTAATATTCGACAGAAGGATGACGTGAGGCCCACACGTCAAAATGAAACGACAGACCTTAAACAAGCGACTGAAAATACTGTACTAACTTTTTTCCAAATCAAAATTGAAAATCAAATAAAAACTCAATACATACACTTATCTACTCAAACCCATATGGGCATACTGCTCACAAATTTACGGTTCTGCAAAAAGACACACAAAAACTACAGACATTTAAATCCAAAATTTTACGACTTATAACAGGAGCTCCTTGGTACGTAAACAACAAAACTTTACATAAAGACTTACGACAACCAACTATCGACCAACACATACTGATCTCTACTCCAGATTTCATCTTAAACTAACGGACTTATTAAAGACACAGCTGACGCCAGTCAGGAGACGACTAAAGAGGAGCTGGATCAGAGATCTCCTTTCTTAAATTAAGGAAATAAGTTAAGATCAGCAATAAGTGCTGCTGGGTACTATTTTTTTCCTCCTGCCTAAAACGTCAATTTTCCGTATTAGTTAAAGCACATCTTATTGTCAAGCTCATGACAGGTGCAGATGGAAATATGAAGACAAAAAAAAAAGAATTAGGACAAAGGTCACCAATAATAAATAAAGTATACTACTATACAAACTTCACAATGGTTTGAAAATAGGATACAATATAAACAAAATTGCAGGTCTAAAACAACTAAATCAAATTTGGCTGTAGGACTACCCCAACACACCACAAATAATGGATAAATTATACCACGGCGTCGGTTCCACATAGAGAACAGAATATTAACAAATAGAAATTAATAGAGTCAATATTACAAAAAACTTTAAAAATCAGTTAATTAACAAACGGATGTAGGTAATCTTAATACTTTTTATGCTAGCGCAATAGACAAAATATAAAATACCGATACAAGTTTCCTTTATAAGATCTATTTGGACGTTTATTGGACGGAGTTGGCATTTTGGGGTCCAAAAAGCCATCGAATTCTTCATGCATCCAATCCTTACAATCCAAAATCCTTCGTAAAATCCTCAATGCTCCTTACTTTTTCACTAATAAGATCATCCATAAAGACCTTAATGTTCCTTATGTTTCCGAATTGGCCCAATCTATATACCTATCCTTCCATAATAAACTTCCGAACCCTCTCGTTTCTAATACATCCCTCCCCTCTCTCTCCCCCCCCCAAGGTCAATGGCGCAAGAACCTACCTGCCCCCATCATCTCAAGATATTTTATTGCTCACTTTTTCTTAAAAACAGAAGAAGTTAAGATAGAATTAGAAAAAATGGTAGATCATATACAATTACACTTGTTGCGGTCTGTTCAACGTTTCCCTCTTGACCCCTCAAAAATTCAAAAACCCATCAAAATATGTCCCCTCAAAAATGTTGATGGCGCAACTTGCCCCATGAAATTCCCCCTCTCCCTCCCCACACCTGTTGCCTGTTTACTCACGGTTACCTTCTTAGAGAATTAGAAGCACCCACGTGCCCAAAGTGTGATAATAAACCTCAGTCGGTAAAACATCTATTAATAGAATGTCATGAGTTCAAAAAAATTCGCCAAAAATTGAAATTACCAGTGGCAGTGAAGGAAATATTTTTGGACAACGAGGACCGAGTCCCAAAGGAGACATTAGAGGACATTGAGGAGAAACTCAATACTACAATAGAGTATAAAAACTTACCGCCAATGACCCTCAAGGGTAGAGGCGATAACATATTTTAAAAAATCACGAAACCCCATACCAGACTGAAACGACTAGAAACCGCCCGACGTTTTCGACTAATGCAGCACTTACTAGACAAACGCTCTAAGCCTTCAATCAATTACAAACGACTCATATAGATGACAATAGTAATTCCTACTTGGACATACGGAGTTGAGATTTGGGGATCCACTAAATTCCTCACGTATCCAATCCTTACAATCCAAAATCCTTCGTGAAATCCTCAACGCTCCTTACTTTGTCACAAATAAAATCATCCATAAAGACCTTAATGTTCCGTATTTTTCCGATTTGGCCCAATCCAGATACCTATCCTTCCATAACAAACTGCAGAACCATCCGAATCCTCTCGTTTCAAACCTTGCTTCCTCCTCGATCCCTGATAATCCTCCGAGGCGTCTGAAAAAAAGAAGGCCTCGGGACCTTCTAATATAGAACTTTAATTTGAGTTCTACCAATGGGTAGTTTCTCTTCAGGCTGTACATGTTATGTGACCAATGTCACATTTACTTGTTGTATTTTCCATGTAATACAGTTGTAAATTTCATTAAAATTAAAATATTTAAAAAATCACGAAACTGAACTATTTCTTCTTATAATGTCAATCTCACATGCTTTTACGTAAACATAAATAAAATAACCTTGGGATCCTATGTAATACTCGCAATGTCAACAGCTGACATTGGTATTGTTAAGTGCTAAGACCCTAACCTTGGTTCTGAATAGCCAGGGACTGTCAAGTCAGGGTACAGCCCTCAAGTCGATCAATGACGAGCCCTTCCTCGATCTACAAAGGAATATTTGTGGACCTCTTTGTCGAGCAGGGATTGATGGTGTGTTTGGTTTCGAGCGGTCTACAACGAAGCAGCTATTAGTAAGTTCTCAGCTTCCAGTATTTGTAATGACGAACAAAATGACAGTTACGGAAGGCTTTACGATTTAAGTAAGACAGGGTGTTTCTTAATTGCACGGCACTATTTTAGGTATGTGTTCACTTACACAAAATAAACAATTAAGTTCATATGAACATATATCTATTATTACTATTTGCTTATTATTATTACAACATTTAGAGTAACTGTTCAAAGGGGCCTCCGTTTTGATGGATGCAATATTCAGCACGATGAAGCGTTTACTCGTATAGGTTTTAGCATGGTATTATTCCTAAGGCGTCTTTCAATGGCCTCAAACGTTTTACGATTTGGTATTATTCGGTTAGGAAATTTTCCACGATGTCTTCGAACAGCAGCAGCACCGTTTCTATGAACCTCACCATAAGTTAAAAGCATGTCTGTTTGTGCTGAAAAAGTGAACAAATGTCCCAAACAAACGTCTCCCATGATAAGCATAAATTGAACTGTGTCACAGTATTTTCTCACACTAAAAGACACAGAACTAGGCAAACAGATGAGCAACTACTGTCATTGCTTATAGTTCATTTGTTTATCAGGTTATTAAAACCTGTTATTTAGTATTAAACACGTTAAACTTTGTGCAGTCAGTTTATTAATGTAGTAAATAATAAATCTTTCATATCTGTTTAATAAATGAGTTTTAGATATATGTTAATATGAGTTTTTTTTGTTTATTTTGTGTTAGTGAACACATATCTAAAATAGTGCCATTACGAAACACCCTGTATTTTTGACAAGCTTTTTTCTGTATTGCTCAATCACGTCTAATACTTAAATGGTAGGTCAACAAAAATCGAATATAACTCTGGATTTTCCAATGTTTTTTTTATAAATAACGTTATTATCTGAAAGTGAAGATAAGATTATGAATTCGGAACTATTATCGAACAAATTAAAAAATATTATGAAAAGTATGTCATTTGGAAACTGATGAACTATGGTATTTAAGAGATCATTTAGGACTATGTTTGATAAATCGGGTGTGAGAGGGTTGCCCCCGGCTAGCTCTGTAATTCGGTTACAAAACAAAAAAAAAAAAAAGAAAGAAACTAAGTACCTATATGAAATGGTGCTTAAGTGACTCTTTAAGTCCTTGTAAATGTAATTAGACAAACAATAATACTTTCAGAGATAATTTGTTTCATAAAACATGGTTATATTTTACTATTATGCTGGGGATTCAGCCCAAAAGTCCGCTTATGGTTAATCCCTTGTCAGCATTTTTCTCCTGCTGTACAAATACTCCTTACCCGCCTAGGGATAATCATACATAACAACTCATAGTAGATAGTTAGGTGCAATAGATAATGCAGTTGTTGATCAATAATCCTATATATTATTTCTAAAAGGTGTTTTTTTGTGGGTATGCCATAAATTTGTTAATTCTTCATCAAAGCCAATGATTGGCCACTCATTTTGAAGATATTCTTCTCTTTCGCATGCGAAAAATAGTCCCATCTCTCTGAAATTTCTGGAAAAAAAGTTATGGAGGAAA